TTAAATTCAATAAAATTTTTGCACCACTTAGAACTGCCGCCTGGCAGAAACTTATGCTCAACTACAAAATTATAATGCTGGGGAAACATGAAATAATGATCCATCATTGGCAATTTGTGTACATGCTGTGCTTTCCTGTGGGGGGGCAATTGCAATCATGAACTCGAGAAATTATAGACAAACTCAATACGACAATTAAAGTGCGCTAGTGTACGGCAGCTAGCTGAAACCACTAAATAAAGGGAAGTGAATACTTAGAACCAAGTGAAACATCAACTTGCTCAATGTATTATTTTACCACCACTAGAATAAAACGTGGAAGGAAAAGCATATAAGCTGCACTAGACGTTGTACCTGCTGTTGGCAACAGCAAACGAAAGAGTTTCAGCTACGAAACTACAGTTAAATGTCGTGCACTTACAGATAATATATGAGTGGATGAATGAGTGAGTGAGTGTGTTTTTGAATTGAAGAAATTTGCAAGCTAAAGAAGAACGTTAAAATTTTAATACAAATAAAATATTTTTAAAGTTAAGTGCTTTAAATTTGATAAAGTGTTTTATTGTTGGTACGTACATAGAAATAGATAAGACAAAATAATTCAGTTTTAACTTAATTAACACCTCACAAACATGTGCGTTTCCTTAAAATTTTATTTAACATTTACTTCCGTTGTGTAGACGACAACCACATTCGTGCATACTGAAGACGGAGAAGTACTCATTGTCATTAACATATCACACAAAGTGCAAGAAATGTAAGCAAATTCCGAGCAATACTTTATGTCTGTTATTCACATAAACGTATTTAGAATTTTATGACTTATTTGAAGTCTAAAATTAATACTTTGTTCGCAAGATAAATTTAACGATATTATTAGAGCAAACCATTAAACTTTATTATCTTTAGTAACTAACAAAGGAAACGCAACATTACCTTTTTCATTATCACTAACTCACTTAGGAAGTACTGTAAAATACCACAATTTTCAGCAAACTCATATCTATAAAGCACCTGCTTGCTCCGCAAAAATTACATTAAGATAAACAAGCCATCGAAGAAACAAATGACTTCAGAGTCACTTAAAATCTTATTAAAGTAGAGAATTGAATTGAATTTGCAAAGTGTTTCCTACTACTAGACTCATGTTGAAAACATTGAAACCACGTGTGAATATTAATACGAACTCACAACAAAGATGCAAGTGGCAAATGGCAAGTATGTGTACGCTTAAAATGGTACAAACACTTTGTATCGGCACCCATCGACAAAATGTTGTAAGTATTTTAACCTAATAATTGCGGTTGCGTACGTACTCAGGGTTGCTTTTATTACAAAAAGCCTTTACACTTGCTAGTAATGTAAAGTTCAGAATTTAACATTTTCAATGAACTTTACTTAACTTACTACGGATGCTGTTAATGCTGGTTCTCTGCTGCTGCTGGTGTCGCTGTTATTGTTGATGTTGATGCTAGTATTTCGAGTCTCGGTTTGTGGTGATGTGGTTTTCTAATGTTGTGCGGTTTCCAAATCACATTTGTACGCCAAATAATAATAATATAAATATATTAAATCAAATACTATAAACATTTAAACTTTATTGCGGTCTTTTTCTGTTATTTATTTTACATAGACAAATTGAAATGCTGCAGTTTCTGTGTCATAACGACGGCCGCATTTCAATAAATGTGCAATAATTGAAAAGTAAACCTGCAGATTTAAAACACATCAGTGGCTGCCAGCTTATTCATCCAGCTTATTTGAAATTTAAAATTTATTCGTAAATTAAATAGGTTTTCAATCAATCGATTATAATTAATTTTAATATGTATTTATGTTCTTATGTTAATTGTGTTACGGTTCAGTTCACTTTCAGCAATAATAATAAGGCTTCCGCTTTATGTTTCAATTATGCTAATTTGTCGTTGACATTTTGCAGTTCATTGCAAAATTATGCTTAAGTATTTTTCAATTAGGCATTAGGTGGTCTTCTGTTCGGGAGCCTGAAAGTATCTTTTTTATTTTTGTTATTATTTTTCTTGATATTATGCCAATTTTCCGCATTAGTGTTACCGATTTTCCTTATACCGCAGCTATTGTGTCCTTTAATGTGGCAGTAAAAAAAAGGTTCAATTTGTTTTCATAAAAAATTGTTATTGAAAAGTTTTTATGCCAAACAGCAATGGAAGTGGCAAGAAAAGTTAAAACTAAGCAGCAATTTAGTTGTAAAAAGTATGGAAAATAAGTGTACACTTCAAAAAAGGTCAAGTGATAAGATTTAAAAATAATGAAAAAGCTAATTCTTGATCAAATTTAACCAAATTTAGTGATTTTAATTTTGTTAAGGATTTCTTTTACTAATTTTTAAAACAACTTAATATTGACATATTGTTTTTATATTAATTTTACTGGTTCTGTCACTAAAAAAATTAGTTAATTTTATTTTTATAAAAATTATTTTCTAAAAGGGATTTTTCGAACAGTAGTGAACTACAACAACAAAAATTCATTTTATATTATTTTAATTAATTGAATTTTTGGCAAATTATTTTCTATAATTTTTTTCAGACATCAAATATTAAAGATTAAGATCAAATGGTATTGTTGCAAGAATTTATGGTAAGAATTTAATGTTAATAAAATAAGCAACAACAAAAATATGACGCAATATAGGTTACACATTTATAATTCCAGCAGACGATAAGGTTTATAGTTAAAATATTATTAAAATGTTATAATATACTTAAATATATAATTATAATATACTTAAATAAAAATAATTATTTTTGCTATATTTAATAGTGCAGTATGGGTACAATAATATGGCCAATTAGGTTCCAATGATTATCCTGTCAAGTACCTAGTTTTTTTTTGTTTATTTATTTTTAGATATAATATGAAAATCTATTGTTTATATGTTATATAGTAGTCGAAAAATTTATGTAATTAAAGAAAAAAACTAAAAACATGTTAAATGCGAATCGTTAAGGTGTGGTTCTCTCTATCTGTTTGGATTATGGAGATTACAATGAATATTGCTTAATGTCTGAATTTTATAATATCTTAATATCATTAAGATAGTAATATAGATTATTATTATTATTTCCATACGTCATTAGGAGCTTAAAGAGTCAAAAAAAAAAAATTTCCACTGATTTCTCGTTAAACGATTTGCCCGTCACCTGCTGAACTGTCCTTCTGCAGGACATTGCTGGTCTTCCTCTGAGCCTAGTTCCCTGGTGGTTCCAAGTAAGTGCAGCATATGCGATATCTTCATAAGGCTTACGCAATGTGTTTCCAATCCAACCATACTTCTTTGTTCTTATCTCGCTGTTTACGTTTGTTTAGTGCATTATCGTTCTAGGCCATCATATGCCGAATATGTTGCGCAGGTATCGATTGATATATGATTATTAGCTTAAGCCATAACAAAATAGGAACTAAAATTAATGCTTAAATTAGTAAAAATGCAATCATAGAAACAAATCATAGATAAATGTAGAAAAAAGTGGAAAGAAAAGTTCATTTTCACTTTACCGAAGATTCAATATCATTTAGGTGGATATTTATGTCAAAAAAAATTAGAATTCACTTAATATATACTTTTGGATATATATTGAGTTATATTCAATGCTAATAAATTAATTAGCTAATTAATAATATTAACATATTTCACAACAATTAATTATATTAATTAATTAGAAATCGGTCCAGATTTTTTAAATATGCTTATCTATAGTATAATGTTTTAGCGATTAGCTCTCTTAATTAGAGAATTAATTGTGGGGATACTCATTCAACAGATACTTTTGATGAAATATTATAAAAATAATCCTTTTTTGAATTACACTAAACCAAACACAAAGAAATGTTAGTAAATAAAATTTTTATATATTGAAATCAATATCGATTTTTTAATTTAATCAATTGCATCGCACCCTGCACGAATGTGCATCTGCAAAACTTCGATTCACTAACGAATAGACTTTCTTAAACATATTAATATTATTTAGAATCCCTTCTAAAACATTTTTGCGGTAGAAATTTGCATAATCATTGACATTATGATCCAAAAACACCAATACAGAGAAGTCACCGATGATCATAGCCGTCCAAACTATTTTAAAAGTAGTGCTAGATTTCGTGTACTCGCTGAAGTTTCAGTATAACCTTTCCTCTGTTAAGTAAATTTGAATCGTTTAAGAATTGCTTAATTAGGAATTTTAATCAAGCGTATCATATATTTCTTAGCCACTCTTTGCGAAGTGTTTTCATCAAACCATAATTTTTCTTACTATTTCTAAAGAAAATAACTGAGATGCAAATTTTTTTGTATGCTTGAAACTCATAAAAGAAACTGTCATTAGATGAAATATGGACGCCGTATTTGCTATCACATTGAAAGTTGTAGCATTTTGAACAAAACATTTACAAAATTCACAGAATTTGTTGTTAGTGTAATTTTTACAGAATACATGAGATACATCTCTAATTAGCGTAATTCAAAACACATATAGTGAATAAGATAAGGGTTTAGTAAAAAGCGAAATAGTTGTATAGTATTTACTATTACTTGCATAGTAACGCTACACTAAAAAATTTTAACTATGTACAAAAAACAAAAAATACTGCTGAAATTGTAAACATTTGGCTTCCAGTTATTATCAAATCTCTATATATTTTACTTGGCATACGATTACACATAAACAATGTTCATAACAAATTACCTAACAAAAATGCTTTGATTGCCAAAAGAGTATATTATTTCTGTCAAATACAGATATAAATGAATGTAATAGTAATGAATGTAAAAATTTGATAATATTTTATAAATAATTGCAATTAAAATAGTTATATTTTTGAACATTGCAATTTGATAGCTTAAACTCATATAACAATTGCACTTAATGACTATGAAATATTTTCATTAGGAATCACAAAAACGTATTAAAACTTGTAAGAATAATTTAAAAAATAATAGTAAAAAGTTAAGAACTTACTTTATTCGATTATACACAAGCAATTCCGCAATATCACGTCCCAATCCAGAATACGTGGTCTCAACGAAGACTAAAACTTTTGGATCAATGCGTAAACGTGCTTCCGAACGATGGTCAGGTGCTGGTGATGCTCCGCGAGCATGTTTCCCATTGACCATGCGACAATTGATGATGGGCGAAGGACGTGTATCACGTTGTATAAGTCTGAAAAGGAATTAATAAGTTGCTATCAGTACAAAAAACTAAATAAAAATGTAATAAAAATATTTTTGAAAATTAATTTTAACACCTGCCATTGATCACAACAATAGCAGTGGCAGTGATGACAAAAAAAATGTTAATTTTATTAAAAACGAAATTCCATAATAAATAAATGCAAAAGACAGTCAAAATTTTCAAAGTACTAAAAACCAATTACGGCTTTTTTTTTGCTTTAAAAAAATAATAAAAATTATGCAGAAAAAATTAGCATAAATTTGAAAAAGTTTGTCCTTGACGGTAGCAAATAGTCCGCAAAAGTTTTTCTTTTCGATTCTATAAAAGTAAGAGGAAATGAGTTATTTAAAATAATTTCAAACATTCATGAATTCGAGTGTAAAATCTCTTTTTAACTATAAAAATGTACGTGTATATTTCACTTTTCCTATATAGTGTGCTTAAGTGTGCATATAGACTTTTAATGCACTCCTGCAGATTCATTTTCACTTAAAAATTTGTACAAAATATTTAGCTCTAAGCTTCATACCAGCATTGTGAAATAATGTATGTATTTTATCAGAAACAAACACTCGTAAAATAAAAACAAACTAAAACATACGATGAAGATTCCTAGTACAGTATAGTATTTCAAAGTATGTAGCCATTTTACGGATTTCTTATAGTCAAGGATAGTTAAAAAAAATATGCATATTTATAATTCAGAAAAACAACAAATAAGTTTTCTTTATTGTTAAAATTATGAAAATCATTTTATATGAAAAATAACCTGCTATATAAGAGCATACCTAAATTTAACAAATTATTTTAGTATTTTACAAATAACTAAAATATCTTGGGGCAATTTGTTAAGTTACCAATATAAACTCTTCAAAATTTTAACAAGTATCCCTACAAGTATCCTTACAAGTACATTATTAAAAACATTTTAAGTTAACATTACTTGTAAAATTCTCTACTTGTTAGGTTCTCTATATATTCAAAATTATTAAAATATATGTTGACATCATTTTTTGTACCAGTATCGCCTACCATACATATATGAAAATGGACGTGTGTACATGCTCACATATTCCGAGCTTAACAGCAACAGCTGAAGCAGCACAAACTCTTGTATATGAAAGTATTATTACAATACATAAAGAAAAATATTAAATTAAAATATAGTACATACTAAAAAGGAAAAAAATCAAGAAATTGCCACAAGATAATTAAGATACAACAAATAAAAAAACGTCAGAGTTTTTTATTTACTTATGAATAAATGCAATTAAGGACACATACCCATATACTTACAATATGCACTAGTATAATATTTTTGTTAATATTATTAAGTATTATTGAACTATTATGTATAGTACATTATGTATAGACTATGATCAATAAGATATTATATTGAAATTTCTAAATTTTATAAATTCTAAATATTGTATTTCATTCTAAATACAGTCAAACTTTCATAACTTCTATAACGCAAATTTTCTATAACTCAAACTAAAAAGAATGCAACAGGCTTTTAGAGAGCAAATTATATAGAACTCTGATTTCATAACTTGAAATTCTATAACTCGAATTTCTCCATAACTCGAATAAATATATTGTCACGTGCCAATTGAAATATGTGAAAGTCCATTGGATAAGTCAAATTTTTGTATTAAGTATGAATCTATATTGGTGTTAAGTTAAGTTCACTTTTCCAAACCAATGAAATTATTCATCAGTCTTCCAAGAATGAAGTAAAAGACTCATTCAAAATTTTCATTTAGATTTGCAAACGATTGATACTATGGTGACTGATGGTGAATATAAGAGTATGAATAAATTGGAATCTCTTTTTACTGACAATTAGAAAAAAAATTATAATATCAAATCCTAATTCTAAATATTTTACTTCACTATAATTTCTGTTTATTTAGGAACCAGCTTAAACACCAAAAATGACTACTTCGGGCTAAGTAAGCAATTGAGAAATAAAGCCCTCTCTCGACAAACAAAAATCACGCTCTACAAATCTCTTATCATGCCTGTCCTGCTGTATGGTGCAGAAGTTTGGGCAATTACCAACAGTGATGAGAAGGTATTAAGAGCATTCGAGAGAAAATTCTTCGTCCCTATGAGGTCGAAGAGCTATGAACTGTATGAGCTTCGAATTATGATACTAAACTAGTTTTAATAAAAACATTTTCTTAGCTTTTATATGTTTATATAGTTGAAATCTTGCACACATTTTGTAATTTTTTAACTGAATTATAACAACTCTATAATAAGAAAAATATTATTAATAGAAAATGAGCACAAAATAACCAAATAGTTTTTGAATAAATTTTATAATAACATCTAATTTAAAACATAAAAAATTCCATCAATCAAATTTTAATATATTTTCATCAAATGTTAGATTTACTACAAGAAGCAAGTCATCTGTAAGTATTATTTTTCGTAAAAATAAAAATCAAAGAATCATATCAAAGCCAATCCAACGAAAAGGAATTTCCAACAAGCAGAAATAGTATTTCCATTTGTATTTGCTGTCAGAAGAAAGATGCACAATTGCATTCATACAATTTTCTTAGCAAAGCATAATTCTTTGTTACACAATATATGCATTTCATATGGAAATAAGCCAATTTTGCAACTTTTTAATATTTGAATTGCAAATGTTTGCCTCTATTATATGTACTAGGAAATAGTGAAGTAAATATTGCTAGGAAATTTGTTTTTCATATTTTGTATCAATATATATAAAATCAATATATATATTAAAAAGTAATGTATAAAAGGTTAGAAATTTAACTATTCTAGTATAAGAACTAATTTTTATTAGTTACACTTTTGCACTTATATCTACTAATTCGATGCTTATTTAGCATAAAAGCTATTTCAGTCATTTATGCATTAAAAAACCAGAGAAAACTGCATCTAAACAAAAACATTCATTAAAATATTACTTAGTTTTAAGTATCTGCTAATGTACTTTTTATATATTTATAGCACTTATTTGTGTAAAATGGTTGTAAAGCATGTAGAATTTATTACGTCTAGGAACTATGTAATTTTTACCTTCATTTGTGCAAACAACTTAACAAAAGCCATTATGGTGTGTATCTTTGAGTTATGAAGCAAAACAATAAACCATTTGTAAAGAAAACTTGTTCCATACTGAGCTCGTCCTATAGAAGGATTGTTATATACGAGTAGTAAGTATGGAATTGTTTGTTTACATATCTATTATTATAACGTTTGCGGCTAAGTGCAAAAATAAACGCAAATAAATAAATAAATACTTTTTGCTATGAATTGCTATTGTATTGTGCAGCACTAATCATAAAAGCAAATGTAAATTCAATTCATTTAACTTTTATTTTTTGCTCTCTTTCTGCATACAACTTCTTTGTTCGATTTTCAACAAAAACTTTTAAAATGTTTATGAAATACTTAACGAAATAGTTACAAGCCATAAAATATTTGCAAATAAAATTTTGGAAAATTTCTCAAAGTATTTTTGTTGATTTCCTAAACACAAGAAGACTACTCTTTCATGCTTACATCAGGAAAATGGTTGGTTGCTGTTTCCATGCTGAACAGCATCTAAATTATGCTCAATCAGTAGAATGTACATACGAGTATAACTGTTTTTTGCGTTAAAGGCTAAAGGTTAGACCGAATTTCTGGTCAAACCTATCTTGTAAAAGTGAAAAAGTGCAGTGTTTAGCACATAAAATTTCTTCATCCACAAATTTGTGTATAAATTTTCGCATTATAACGTTTAAAACTTTAGCAAAGCACATAGTCAAAACTATACAACTATACCATAGAACAATACCACTGTCTGTTAGTTTGTTTAAGTAAAATCCACTTAACAGCTGTCAACTGTTTCCAAAACATATAAATTTACATTTTAGATTTGAAAATGTTTGAGTGACATTCGTTTTGAATTTTAAGTCTCCATGTCTGCCGGTTGTTTAATAACAATATGAAGTTAATAAATTAATGCAACCATATGCGAAGTGTGTGAAAAGTGGGAGTGCTAAAATACGTTCGGCTCAGCTGTCATATGTGTTCAAATTGCATTTAGGCTGCTTATACAATGCTGCAGTTAGAGCTGATAGCAACAAATCTGATAATACCAGCACTGAGCAGCAAAAAGTTAACAACAAAAAACAAAAAACACAAAAAACCAAGCAAAAAGACGCTTGCAACTGTGTTGCAAACATTGGCAGCATTTGGAGTAACAACAGCTTAAGCATAAAATTTACCACATTGTATCGACTTCACAAAAAATACACATAAGTTGCAACATATTTGCACATACATATCTATCTATATATATACCATATATATATAAACAACACACAAGTAGAACATTGTTTTGCAAAATTATTACCCTAAAATGGCAGTGATTTATTTGTGCTCAGTGAAAAGTTCCGTTTCCGTTCTTTTTTATATTTATCAGGAAATTTCAGTTGTTACAATCAAGTTTGGTTTTTGCACCATTGCACTGTTATGGCGGTAGTATGACTCTGGTTGTCAGGCGTTAGGCGTAAGGCTAGGCAATGGGTGTCGAGCGTACAATCTTAAGAAGGCGGTAAAGCAAAACACTCGTAAACAAGAAAATACAGTTACAAAGCTGCATAAACAGATCGACGGAAGGACAAATAGACTGATATATATATATGTACACAAACATATATTTGTGAGTATGGCAAGGATAAAGCAAAAACATTGTCGATTTCGTAAAAAAGCATAGCCAGAGTCAAGTCAAAATTTATGCATTTGAAATTAATTTGCACATAAGCAAAATCTAACGTCATGGGGATGCATTGCAAAATCGCACATTATATCCTGTTGCTAAGATTAATAGTGCTTTCGATTGTATACAAAGGATAAAATTTCATTGTTTCGTACTCAAAATAGTCTTAAAAGATATATTCAAAAAACAAAAACTATAAATCGCAGTGAAAAATAATAGAGTCCAAGCGAAAAACAAT